ATTTCCTAGTAAATATTAGTGTTAAAGTTGTACTTTGTTTTTGGCTTTCATAAAATAGTTCATTTCTGTATAAAGTCAGATTCACTAGTGAGAACATTGAGTTTCAAAATAAGAGCCTTGCCTCACAGTCATCTATGTAGTGGATAGGAGTTCTCTGTTTAGAATCTACTCCTAGAAACAATTTCTCCACTTTGAATCAGAATATGCCTTCGTATGCAAATGATTGGAAGACTTGGATATCCAATAGTCTTGAGGTATGCAGAACAGTTATAGGTTCCTGACATATAAGAACGGAAATCTCACTTTGACCTAGAAATTATACTTGAGATGTTTGCCTTTTCTATGCACGCCAGGCAAGTTGGGGGTGCCAAATTTGTGAAGGTAGTTTGAGCTTCATTATTGATGTGTCAGTATTTTTTCAGAGGATTTCATCATACATTTTGTTTCCTTGTAAATTGATTTTTATTTTAAACATTGGGCATAACAAAAGGGGAAATATTGACAAGTTCTTTGTGTAATAGAAAATCCCTGAGGCAAAGAATAGATTATTTCTACATGATCCATAGCTTATCTCAACTACTATACTTGATTAATGGATGATTGTACAGTTAGAATAGTGACCTAGCAGCAGAGAAAATGTTGGGCATAGTGGTTCTGAACTAATTATTGTGGCGATATTCTACTTAATTATCATCATTTTGATAACTTTGTTTAAATTTATACATAGGATAGGTCTCCAGGGACATCCTAGCTAAAAGACCAAACATCCATATCAATATTTAGATGATATACAAACCTAGTTACCAAGATAGCATATTTTGTTATCTACTTTGAGCATTTTTTTTAGAGCCACAAATGATCATTTCATAGTCAAAATGCATAGACTTGAAAACATGTGTATTAGACAACAACAAAAAAAGTTTATTTGTGGTTATTACTGTGAAAGGCTTGGAAGCTCCCTAATTAAGTAAAGGTCAAAGAAGTTCCTTTCAAATTATATTCCAGCCCATTCTATAATTTTTTTTCTGAGCCAGTGCGTTAATCTGAAAAGGGCTCTTTCTGGAAAGGATCTTTTAAATTTGCTTTCCAGAATCTCATGTTACTGACTATTCACTTCTATCTCCAAAAAATGAAGTCTTTGACAGTATATTGTCTTGATTTTTATGTTGTTATGACTGTGCTTCTGAAGCATGTGTTTGAATGGGTGGTAGTTTGCCTGGATACAGATCACTGTAAGCTACTAACATCACCTGTTGTTCATAATGGTTGAACTCAAAGCAATATGTATGGCCACCTTAGCAGGGTTGATCAAATTTAAAGTGATTTTTTTTTCCCTCACACTGTCCTTGTGCTGAGTGCACCACAATTTTATTGACAGTTTAATCTCTTAGTGCCCTGGAAAAGATACAGTCTAGTTTTCCAATAGTCTGATGCCAGAGTGACAGTTTGCATTACCGGAACTTTGTTAAAGTTGCTGATATGAATTATATATCATTTCTGAGAAATAATACCAACAATTGATATTTCTCAATTAAAATATGTGTTGAAGGAATCTTATTTTCTACTTAGTATTCAAAGTATTTCCAAGATAGTATAGTAAGAACTTCATATAGAAAGAAACTTAGAGAAAAGGAATCTACTACAATATTACCAGTTTCATCATCTATAAAATGGAGATAAAAGTATGTGCTACAAAGGTTATACATATCCTGGGACATAGTAATGTTCAACAAACTTTAGTTACTGTTATGATGGTGCATTCTATGTAGTCATTGGGTTTGATTAAATTCTCAACCCCAAGACTCCTCCTAAATTAAAATCTTTGCTTTTTAAGAAAAATATTTCAGTAATATATTTCTAAGTAAGCATTTGAATAATGCAGTTTTTAGGATGTATTTGCTGATACAGATTCTAACACACAGAGCAAGTTACTGAAAATTAAAATGATTACAAGTATTTTTTCAAATAAGGTAATAATAAAATAAATTTAGTTTCTTGGTTCTTTAGATTTTTACAGATATTTTTAGCTTAAAATTTGCACTTTATTAGAAACTATTTGTTTATCTACATTTCTGAGAAAATTCAATCTGATAGATTGTATACAATCAAGAAAAGGAGTATTAAATTAGGAAGAGTAGAATGAACAAGACTAGGAAATAAATTTTTAAATTTCAGATATATACTTGCATCAGTGCTTCAGTTGACGAAACCAGGTTCTGTGCTGTGCATTGTTTCTGCCTGAGATATTATTTATATTTAGTGCTACAAAGAGAGAACTAGATGGGGGCAAGGGGTGGTCTGAAGTATTTGTAACTAACAGACATATAGTGATGGGCCCATTTTACTCCAGGCTGATGACTTCATTGACAGTTTAAATGAACAAATTCTGTCAACTGTAGTCATTTTGTAAATTAAATGAGTACTACTGTGCTTTGCATGAATTTTTATAATGTGTGGGTTATATTCCAGAGAGATTAAATAATAACTTGGTAATAGGTAACCTCGGAAGAAAGTGTTAATTCACACTGATCATCTTAAGGATTCTTCTTGCTTTTGGAGGTTGGAGGTGGTCTTGGAGGTTGGTAGATGTTTTCTACACCATTTTGACCTCTCAACAGCTAGCTCTTTGTCTACTAAATTCCTTTAGTCTTAGCATGCAGATATCTATAGCTGCCTCTAATTTTACTAAAAAAGGAAGTTTTGGTAAAACATTTAAATGGCTTCTTTTTTTAAACTTTTTTTAATTGAAGGATAATTTCTTTATGGTATTGTATTGGTTTCTACCAAACATCAACATGAATCAGTAAATAGCTTTTTTTAAAAACATTTTTTTTATTGTAGCGTAGTTGAATTTACAGTGTTGTGTTAATTTCAGATGCTAAATGTCTTCTTAAAACTTATGCTCCTATTAACCAAAGTAGGCTTATGAAATTCAGTCCTACAGTTCTCTCACACCTGCTTTTCTCCCCCCACTCCTTTACTTTAAAAGAAAAATAATAGCAAAGCAGTTTGTACAGTTTTTGAGAGATAATGAAAAAAACAGCCCCAACTCTACCTCTTAACTAACCTCTTAATCTTATCATTCAGCCTTTTGGCTGTCATTACCAGTTCCATATCTTAAGAATGACTGTGGTTTTGGCATTAGTGGAACAGAAACTTCAGCAACATAACTAAAGAATAAGGGAAAACTGTATGTGGACAGACGACTAACAACAAATATTTCAAAGGTTTTCAAGGATAGGACAGATGCTTTAAAAGTGCCATTTGGAAATCCCTGGTTGTCCAGTGGTTAGGACTCTGTCTTTCACTGCCAAGAGTGCACAGTCCCTGGTCAGGGAACTAAGATCCTGCAAGCCTCATGGTGTGGACCAGAAAAAAGTCCTGTTCTTGGTAATTTTACATAAGCTCAAGATAGGTTAATTTGGTTATTTTATAAGAGAGCCATATGGTAAAATACCTCCTCTAAAACACTGAATTACCGTATCTTTGAAAGTTGTAATGGATGGTTAATTTTTTTTTCTCAGCAGCTGTTTATATCAAGGACATAGTCAACAGAAGTAGCACAGAAACAGAATGAATACCGTTTGGTAGGCCAGCTTTATAACTTGATTCATACTTTTACTTTCAAAAAGCAATTAATATTATAGGAGAGGATGTCACATGAGTTAGAAGTGATGATGTAAGAATTGATACTCCTGAATTTTATCAGCTTGGCTTCTCCTCTCTTGGAGAGAATCCTTTTTCCTTTCTGCTACTATTCTGTATTCTTAAGTCCTGTTAATTTTCCTCTTACAGGATAAAAGCAAGAGCAGAGTTTCTGTCAGATTCTCTTTTAGTAAGTGCTCTAGCATGTTCAAAAGAATTACAGAAAGATAAAAGTTCTTTATTGCAATAAAAAGTGGGCCCAATAACCAAAAATCTTGAGTAATTTTGATTTCATTGATACTGTTTTCATGACAGAAAGCTTCTTTTTAGTACCATCAAGTGCTCGAAATAGTATCCAGAAAATAATTATGTTACAGATGAGTTTTCTTTCTGCAAGGAACTGGCAGAAATATTACATGTTTGATTATATAGCAGTTTTTATTCTCTATACATTTTAATGTTCTCCAAGCTGTTATTCATCATAAAATGAAAAATTTATAAAGCCCTGTTCAAATTTGTCTTTGAATATCTGAGTACTCCTTTTGTAGAGGAAGGAAGAGGTGACTTTAAAGTGACTTGTATTAATATCTGAGTTTCTTAATTTTTATTTACCACTTTATAAAGATTTTATATGTTGAGATAGACATGTATTATGAGTATCATCTATGGAATCTTAAGATGGAGTTGCCTCCCCATAATTTAGAAAACAAATTTCTTTCAAGATTAGTCAGGAGGGGAGAATGGAATATACCAAAAGGTATGATCTTATAACAGAGTTTTAGAAAATAACTAGATTTTTCTCCCCACTCCTTCCCAATAGAGTATAGGCTATAATCCCTCCCTAGATTGTTAAGTCTATGAATTTCAAAGAACAGCAAGAATTTGATAGCAGTTAATTGCAACAAAGTTTTTTACTAAACAGCTTCTTTTGGAGCCCTTGCATCTTACTTCTCAGAATTTCTGAAGGAGCCAATGATAATTATTCTTAGTGCTTTAGCAACTGAAGAAAATAAGTCCTGAGAATTCCATTAAATAAAAAATACCAGTTTATAAAGTATGTCATTTCATGTTAATGTTCTTTGATTCCCTAACAACTAAATATGGTTCTCAAATGTGTGTGATTTTCATCTGAATCAAAGGGAGTCATGTTGCAAAGCTAGGATTTGATTCAATGCCACTTTGAAATATAGAGTATTTCTATAACACTTGCTTTTGAACTTTAAGTGAGAACCATAACAGATGTGAGAAAGAGTTATGACAAGGACAGCCTAATTTAAGTTTTAGAAATTTTAGGAAATGTCATCTTTTTATTGATTTCAGAGACTTTTTTCAAATGTTTTAAACACAATTTTCAGATAACAATAATGAAAAGCTGAGCCCCAAACCAGGGACAGGTGAACCAGTTTTAAGTTTGCACTACAGCACAGAAGGAACAACTACAAGCACAATAAAACTGAACTTTACAGATGAATGGTAAGTTAATATTTTTGTCAAGATGTTCTTAGCCATTTTGTAGGATTTTATTAGATATTATTTTTAACAGTTCATCTTTGTTTTGTAATAATGTATTGGTTCTCAAACTTTAGCGTGCTTCAGGATCACTTGGAGAGCTTCTTAAAACACAGATCACTGGACTCCACAATCAGAGTTTGAGGTGGAGTCAGAGAATTTGCATTTCTAAAAACTTCCCAAGTGATACTGATATTGCTGGTCCTGGGATATTTCTCTGATAGAAAATGCAAAAGAAGATCAATCATAAATATACTAATAGTGCAAAAATTAATAAGCCTAACATTTTGGAGCTTTTTGCAGGCTTGGTCCTATGTAAAAATGTGTGTTTATGTATATATACATATATATTTTTGCTTTGACATTATTTTAATGATACTGAATATATTTAATTCTTCCCTACATTTATTTGAGTTAACTTTATAGTAAATATTCCCATATTACTCCTTAGTTTTCATAAATATTATTTTGTTAGCTAATAGAATCCACCAAAAGGATGTACCATAGCTTTATCCATTTCCTTTTAGTTAGGCAGTGAAGTTACTTATTTTTACCAAATAATACTATGAATATCTTTGTTTACAAGCTTTGTTTCTACTTTAAAGATGATTATTTGGGGTATTTTTTTCCAGAAATAAAACTGTAGCTAAATTAAAAGATATTGAAAAATTATTTTCAAAAGGATCATCTGCCATTACATTTCTCCCAACAGCATATGAAAGTACATGTTTTGCTGTCTCCAGGCCAGTATTCAATATCAGTATATTCATTTATTTGTAACTTATGTATTTGATTTTTAAATAATTTTTATTTAGGTTATTATTAGTGAGTTTGAACTTCAGTGGTCGTATAGAATCTTTTTGATGGCATTTCTGATTATATTTATTGTTCATTAATCTAATTAAATATGATATTTAAAAAATTAGTTATGTGAACTTACCTAAATTCTTTGCCACTGTCTCATTGCCTTTTGCATGAGAGACAGCATCCAAAATATTGTATTTAAATTTATCACTGTTATTATATAAATTAATATATAGGTGATACAATCTTTCTTAATATAATTAATTATATATTAATATAATCATGTGATTAATATATGGTGGTTATGTTAATCATTTAATAACCAATATATTAATTATTCTAGATAATTGATATATTAAATTGTACATTATTATATATTATATGTTAGTATAATATATAATATGTTGTATATAAATGATATATAATATAGTTATATATTGTTTATTAATATATAATTAATTATATGTTGATATATGATATTCTAATTTACAGGTTTCCATTTGTCTTTCTCTGTGTTTTTTTATATTAAAATCTTTGATTAAATAGGATTTTCATATATTATTATTGAATACCTTCTGTGTTTCAAAGACTGCTCTAGATTTTGGTAATTCACTGATGAAAAAAATAGACAAAAAAAATCCCTGCCCTATTTAAGCTTACTGTCTAGGTATGGGAGGCAGATAATAAACATAATAAATAAATGAATTGTATAGCAAAAGCCTATTAAATGGTACTAAGTGCTATGGAAGAAAATAGAGCAGGTAAAGATTATTGTAAAATCCCCGGGAGGGGTAGGCATCATTGAGAAGATGACATTTGGGCAGTTTCAAGGGTAAGGAGGAGTGCATATCCGGGGGAAGAGCATTCCATGCAGAGAGAAAGCTAGTACAGTGGCACTGAAGTAGGAGCAGTCTCAATGTGTTCAAAGATCTTAAAAGAAAGAAACAACAGTGTAGCTAGAGTGGGGTGACCAAAGCAGAGGGTAGTAATAGATAAGCTCAGCCAAGGAAGTGAGAAGGGTCTTAAAAGGAAAAAGGATGTCTGGTTGCTGTGTAGAGAACAAGCCTTCGGTAGAAACTGGATGATCAGTTAAAAGGCTTTGGCAGCAAGCAAGGTGAGAGGTGTTGTTCACTTAGTTGTGTCTGGCTCTTTGCGACCCCATGGACTGCAGCACACTAGGCTGAGGTGGTGTCTTGGACCAGGATGGGAGCAGTGGAGGTAGTAAGGAGATTGGATTCTAGATGTATATTTGAAGGCATGGTCAATAGAATTTCTTTATGATCTCTACTGTTTAACCTCAGCTTTTAAAAATCATGATATCCATGGCTCTTTTTCTTAGTACATAATTTAAGACCACAAAAGATTATCATAATTTATTCTTAAGCCTTTTCTTATGTTTCTGTACAGAAGGGACTGATTTCTTATGAAGAATCTCATCTGAGCATATTTTAACCAGACATCTTTAGTCCCACTCTTCTTTTGAATGGTGCTTTTTCTTCTTTGAAAACTAACCTGAATTATATTCTCTTATTCACTAGTTTCTTATTTCTTTATCAAAAAAGTAGTTAGCCTTTTTTTCTGGTTATAAAAATATTCTGTATTCATTGTAAAAAAGATTTTAAAAATGCAGTCTTTTTCATCTGTGCTAGTATGGTGTCTTGCTTTTATTTTAGTTTCTTTGATGACAGGAAGGCAATAGAGCACACAGACAGAGAGTTGGGACTCTGAACATGACTAGCTATTGGACCTCTGTAAATACCAGTTTTTTCATCTGAAAATAGGAATATTTAATACAACCTTCCTCAGGGATTTTGGGAAGATTTAATGAGACCATGCCGAAAAAGTACATAGCGCTTAGCTCGTTGACTGGCACACGATAAGCTTTAAATAATTGATAGCTACAATTGTCATCTTTTATAAATTGCCTTTCAAATCCTTTGCCCAGTTTTTTACTGTGGTGTTTATGTTTTTCTTACTGACTTATAAGAGCTATATAGAATTAAGTGAGGATAATATCATTTGTCTTTCATTTGTTGCAGATATTTTTCCCAGTTTATTGTTTGTCTTTAAGTTTGCTTATGGTAGTTTCACTTTATGGTTTCAGCCTGTGAGCTAATTAATGCTCCTTGTCGTTCTCAGAATTAGGGGAAGATTTCTTCTTTATTTCCTTTTATAGTTCTGTGCTTTTATATGAAAAATGTGTATAATCTTTTTATAGTTTATTTTACCATAAAGTATGATATAGGGCTTATAGCTCAATTTTTCCACATGGCTTTTCCTTTATCCCAGTACCTTTTATTGAACAATCTAGTTAGTCATTTATCTATGATTTTAAAATACCATATTCACACATGCTAAATGTATTTACTTGATTACTTGTTTTTCCACTAATGGCTCTGTATTCCTACATCAGTGCCCTGTCATAACTGTTCTACACTGGGCATTCTATTTAACCCTGCATCATAGCTTTCTCAATGGGGGGAAAAAAGATTTACATATCACATTGGCTTATCTTTATCAGAATTGCTGTACATTACTTTTTGGTTAAAAAGAAATACATGTTCATTGCAAAAGAAATAAGAATCTAAAGAAAAGTTAAAAAAAATTACAGTAACCCAACTGAGATGACAGTTAACATTGGTGTCATCTTTCTGATATTTTTCTGATGAATATCCTTTCTGATATTTTCCTCTGTGTATATACCCATGTAGATATGCATTTTTCTTAAAAATACATTATATATGGATGCTATTTTTAAAAAATTAAATTGACTTCCATAATTAGCCAAAAAAAGCTTTTCGAAAATTTTGACAAACATTCCATGATAATTTGCATTGTTTATTGAGTCACTGCTATTCGTCTATGAATAATGTTTTTTAAGTTGTTGTAGCCATTCAGTTTATTCTTGTTCATATCTTTACTAAATTTAATTGTTCCATTTTTCTGAATTTAATTTTAACCCTGATAAGATTGTTATACATTTTCTTCTATTTTCTTTCCCACTCAATCCCCTTCTTATACATTTGTCATGATTTGTCACAGAATGGTCATTGAAAATTATCTATTTAACTTGGTATGGTATTCTGCTCTAGCCAAAAATTCTAACAGGATTATGGTTATCATCAGGTAGGTATTAAAACTAAAATAGAAAACATCATTCTCTCCTTCTACAAAACTATGGTGCCGATCACTTGCCATATTTGAACAGCAATCTAGAACTGGCAGTGATCTACAAAGGGCAATTCAAAGACCAAAGGAACTTCTAGGCCTCTTTTCAAGTATCAATTTAAAAGTAGCCTAGAACAACAAAGTCTAAAAGGGTATATGATCAAAGTTTGTAAAATCAGTAAGAATTTTAATATGGTGAAACATCTGTAGTGAGGACAAGAAGAGAGATTATGTAATTAAGTTAAAATTCAGTAGAGACTTGTATATATATACCAGATCGTAGGAGCATCAGTCAGTGAAGAATTTATATTTTTTAATCTCTTTTTAATATTAAAAGTGGATTAGAATAATCACCTTGATTTTTTTTAAGTGATGTTTCGCAAGTACTGCTAATATAAATCTTGTGTTTTATTTGTATCCTGAATTTTTTTGATCAACTTCTCTAGTTGTAAAATATTATAGTCTGAGTTTTTTGATCAGCTTCTCTAGTTGTAAATTACAAAAATTATCCTAAAAGTTGACATTTATTAACTTCTTGGTGAAATAGCTTGTCTTGATTGTAGGAGCAGTACTGCCTCAAGTTCCAGAGGAAATGGGAGCCACTGCAAATCTGAGGATCAGGAGGAATCTTTGGCCCCACAGAGCCCAGTGCAACCATCGGAAGGAGAGAATGAAGCAAGTAAGGTGATATTTTGCCTTTGTCCTGACAAAACCCGATGTTGGATGTTTGTTTACCTATTTTTCTGATACATCAGTGCTACAGTTTTGTTTTTTCACTTTTGCCTCAGTAGTCCACTTACTGCTGTTGATGAATTATCAATAGCAAATGCAAAAGATAGGGACCTTAAGCATTTAAGATGAGGCATCACAGGGAAGCATAGTTCCCCTCTGTGGGCACAGTGGCCAGGATAGATGGTCATCATACGGACAATATATTAGATATAAATGTTGGTTTGAGTTATCTTTACCATTTTTATACCTAGCAGTGAAAGCCAGAGTATCTATCTTGATTTTTTCAAAGTATATAGGTTGTTTATGGAGGAAAAGAAAAAAGAATAAAATCTAAACAGGTTATGAATGAATCCTGTTTCATATAAGAAGAGCCATTTGGAGAATGTTTTTAGAACCCTTTCCTGGAATATTTTTATGTGATCATCATATAAAGTTTAGGGGTTAGTACAGCCTTAGAACACAGTAGATTTTCAGTACATATTTGATAAATGAATTCATGAATTGTTTTTCATTAAATGAATACATACTTCAGCGTAACAGAACTTACAAGAATAAAATACACATAAGATGACTGTCTAGCAAGCAAATGTCCAATTAGGAACAAAAAAACCTAATCCTTCATAGGTCTTTAGAATTAAATCCCAGAAATAAATATTTTCAGTAGCCAAATAGAATTTATGTTGGGGCTAACTTTACTCTTTGCTCATGATAGTTCAAATTAGACCAAGTATATGACAAAAGGAAGAAAAATACTCAGTTTTTAAGTTTATATTCTTTGACATTTAGGGGGAAAATAAAATCAAAATTGAGGAATGTCAGTTGGGAGGAATAATCTCAAGCAGGATTTTTCACATAGAGTTCATGAAGGTCCATGCATAGACTTTGGGAAGAGGCAGAGGGCAGAACTGATAAACAAATAGCAAATACCCACATCTGTTCCTGATAGTATTTTACAGTTTTGTGGGTACAAAGATAGTATTTGTATTATACTCTGGGGGAGTTTTTATCTGAGTGTCAGAAATATATATGACCCTAAAAGGGTTAAGAGCTACTTGTGTATAGGAAACCTAGAATATTAATTAAATTGGTGTTTATTTTTCTTAAAAAAAAAAGTTAGGATTTAATGATAATTTGGTTTAATTCCCAGAAGCTCCTGAAGAATCATCAGAGGATGTGACACTTCAGGAAGGTACATCTCCAGAAAGCACAGTTCAAAACTATATAGATACAGGTGAGTTGTTTTGTTCTCCTTAGAGAATTCCTTTATATAGGAAAACAAGAAGACTTAATCTGTGTTAGTCTGTCCAGAGTTAGAGACCATTTCCAAATAGATGTATTGTGGAATTTTGTTCTTCATGTAGGGGAATTAGATTTATATTAGAAAATGTCTGAAGTTAGATTAAATAATTAGTGTTGCTGACATGACCAGTTATTACTACTTTATTTTCTGACAGCACAATCAGATAAGTTTACTTCTGAGTCATTGGATTCTGGCTCAGGAGAAAGAAATGACTTCAATCTTGATAGCCCTTGTGGGGTTGCAGAAGAATCCACTTTGTCTGAAAAAGGCAAAGAACCAGGAACTTCAGATCAAACTAGCACAAGTGCTTCCAGACATAGTACCAGCGACCCTGAGCCTCAGTCACAAACAGAAGCCACTGGGCCTCCGGCCCGTGAGGAGACGTTGACCAGGGACTCTGCTCTCCAGGACACAGATGATAGTGACGACGACCCAGTCCTGATCCCAGGTGCAAGGTATCGAGCAGGACCTGGTGACAGGTTGGTAAATTTTTAATTAACATGAGCTACAAAAATATAATTCACAAGGCTTTATTTCTTTGCTTGAAGTCATGTAAAAGAGTCTCTCCATTTTTGACAGTTACTTCCTCTAAGTGTGTGTCTCAGTCATATAAAGTCATAGAATTTTGTAAACTATAAGTAATTTCACATATTACATATTGCATTCTTTGAGCACAAGAATATAAAGAAGATACAAAGAATTGCTGTTTATCTTCAGCACAAAGGCTTCGTCTTCAGTTTACAGATTCAGAGGAAGGAATATTGAGAATGACCAACAGGTTAATTACTGAGTTAGGGTTATCCTTAGTTGTCACATTGCCTCATAGAGATCTTGGCCTTTATCAATTTGGGTTTTTTTTAGCATTTAGTTTTTCTACTTTTCTCTTAACCCTGGATTAAGGTAGTATGACAGGGTTCTCTTTTTGAGAACATTGTGTTTTTCTCTGACTTCTACTAAGTAACTCAGTTTCAGAATTGAAAAGTCATACCAAGTAACAAATATTTTAACTGCAGTAAAGAATTAAATTGCTTATGTGTTCATAACTTTTTCCATTTTTGATTTTATGTATTCATAAGGATATATTTTATTTTTTTAGTAGGTAAAGTAAATCTTCAAAGTATATTGCATTTCATACATTCCTAAAACTATTTCTATAATTAGTGCTATCATATCTCATTGTAAGTTCTGTCCTAGTCCAGAGAATCAAATTTACCTTTAAAATCCTAGTTTTCACAGGCATGAAATTGTATCACATGTATTTATGCTCAATGTACTGCTGTTTATAAAATGTTCTGACATTTCTGTCAAGTGAAAAATAAAAATACAATGAAAATATTAATTTACCATTAAAGAATGGCAATGTTATACAATGATCAAGAGCATAATGACTTGAATTCTGGTTTTATCATTTACTAGCTGTTTCCTCATTCAAATTACTTAGTATCTCTTAAAGGTTCGGTTTCCTTATCTATAAAATGAGATTATAATTGTTTAGAATTGTTGTCAGAACTTAGAAAAAAATCAGTCAAAGGACTTGTCTCACTTTGAAAGCACTAAATAAATGATAGGTGTATTAAACAACCAAGACATTCCATGTGCTACTTAGACTTTAAAAAGCAATTACTTATAATAAGAATGGCTCTAGAGAAGACAAGCAAAATTCCTGAATATAGTAACTTGAAGTTCAGTTTAGCTGCCTTTTCTTAACTATGAAAAGATGGATAGGTATCTGCCTTTAGTCATACTTGGTCAAAGTGTTTACTTTGTAGTGACTTTTAAACAAACATTTTGTCTTCACCTGACACACATTAGTCTTCAAATTCTTAGTATATATTTCAGACAAGTAAAACTTAGTTTCCTTTCTTCTCATGCTCAGAGGGAGTCCCATAGAGCATCATTACCACTTGATGTATGCAGATAAGGCTGGCAAGCATGGCAGAATTTATAAATCAAACTGATGGTCTCTAAAGCCTAGGGTGGAGAACCAGAGACTACAGCTATTTTATGCTTGCACATTTTTGGCTTTCAGATTATATAAGCAAACATATGTCCTTCATTTTCTATCTATGCTTACAAAGTTTAAATGGTACTAAGGTAGTAATTGAAAATGAAATTTAAGTGTCCACTTCTAGTAAAATGTCCCATGTCACTTACCAGGTCTGATTGCTTAAATAGGAATTATATATTTTTGGTAAATATTAGACACTTGAAAAAATGATTATTTAACATCTAATATTCAGGCTAATTATGTAACACTTTTACTTGGCCTGCATTATAGGTGAGGAAACTGAGGTGCTAAGCAGAGATTTTGTATATTCTAGACCTAAGGAAAAAAAATTTTTTTAACACGGTAGTATAACATGAATGAGAAAAGAGAATTTGTGGGGAGAATGGGTTCTAGAGAATGCAGAACATCTTGCAGCATATTGTCCTTATTTTGGATATCTTACTAGAAGCTATATTATCTTTCTACTGAACATTATCATTTACTTATCATTTTTGTAATACTTACATGATTTATATATTTTAGGGATTCTCCTGAGATTTAGACATGCCACAGAATTGGCAGCTGATAGCTTCATTGACCCAAGAAACCCATTTGCTGAACTAGACTAGCAGAATCTTTTAGAGGAGAGATGATCAGGTTCAACAGCCTGAAAGTGACCCCACTTCTCGCATGTACTTTTGAATTTGTGCTCTCGTGGTTAGATCCAGATTTGAAACCACCTCTTGATCTGTATTTGCTTCCCTGCTTTTATTTAAACTATTATTTAATATTCTGTATAGTCAGTTTAGGTATTTAGTCTTTTTTGTCCTATATATTATTTAGTTATTTGTCCTATGTATTATTCTATAGGACATAGCAGTAAACTTACTAAAGAGTAATAGAAAGATAATAAAATTCTTCTTCAAAATTAATAAAATTAATTTTGAGAAAATTAATTTATTGAAGAGGACAAGTACACAAGCCATTTATAAATAGAAAACAGTTTTAATAAATATATGAAATTAGGTACAATATTACATATATATCGGTGTGTACATGTCCGTACACAAAGTTGTACATACTGAGATAATGCTGAGGTGATTAGAGTGGCTGTTTCATAATTACCTCCATTTTCCTTTGAAATATGCATTATTCTTCCCTAGCTATTTACCAAAAAAAATTTGCAAATGGTGTAAGATCTTCCTTCTGACTTTTCTGTAAATAATTTTGATAATTCCTAACTTCCTGAGTACCAAATTGATTAAATTTTGAACTACCTATATAAAGTTTACTTTTTATTTCTGTACCTTTCTAAGGCTCTTCATCCCTGGCCATTTATCTTACTTCCAAAATTTGGAGGAATGAGTATGTTGACTTTTTTGTTCTAAAGATAGAAAGTTTAAGAAATTTTACTTCTTAAGAACATGAAAAAAAATCATTCACCAGCTTAAGAATAAGCATATGATTTTTGTTTTTGAGAATTTCTATTTCCAAAGGAATAAAGAATTCCAAAGCTCTGCCATAAAAATCATACCATTTGGTTCTTAGAGTCTAAGTAAACATCTCACTTGGATGAAATGCCAAACTAAAAGGATACATGTCCCCTCTTGCTCCCATTTGAGAAACCGAGTCAAGATTAGTTTAGTAAGGCCAGAGAGATGGTCCCCAAATTAAAAATGGTTAAAGAGTATATACTTAGATTTGTACTTTAATTTGATGAAGAATTATATAGTGGATCTCATAAATTTTTTGCCACACAATTAATTTTTAAATGAAACCTAAAAAGTTTGTAGCTAAGCCATTTTGACACATTTAATGAAAATATCAAAACAGTTCTTTGCAATACAAAGTTATAATTTTTTTAAATAAAGATTTTCATTCTTATAATTTGGTTAAATAAATATGACCCACGTTTTCACTTTTGAGCTGAGATCAAGCATGAGAAGGAAATGTCTTAGAAAATAAAATGTTAGCCTTAATGACTAACATAGGTATTTTTAAATCCCTTCTTATTAAATATAGCTAGTCTCAGTCTAAATATAACTGGGACTTTCTATAGCAGAGGTCAGCAGACTTTTTCCTAAAAAGCCAAAGAGGAAATATTTTAGGCTTTACTGGCCAGGAGGCAAAATGGAGGCTATTATGTAAGCACTTACATAACCACATAAGATGTAACCATTTATAAAAACCACTGGTCTCTAGTCGTTCATTACAAAAATAGACAGCTGGTTAGATTTGGCCCAAGAGAGGTAGTTTACTTATCCCTGCTTTATAGCAGATCAGTCTTACAGAGAGAAACCAAGCTATAGTATATGGTAAAATTCCTCTGTTGATAGGTTACCAAAGTTCAAAACAAATGTGAATCACCATGTTAGATCTCCTTTAACTGTGTTTATAGCAGGAACACAGAACATTAAATGGAAACTAAAGTGAAGAAAGAAATAATCAAACATATCTACTTTCTAATATGGTTTAAAAAATAAATAAAAGTAGTATGTACATCTCTTAGGAATTTTATGTATTAGATTTAGAGACATAAACAGGTGCCCTTGGAATGAAAGAAAAGTGGTTTTTTTGTTTAGAGGTTTATTGTTTAGATGGTCTTCAGGTAAACTGTTTTCAGCACACCAAATCCAACTTCTAGTAAATGATAGGATGGCCTGACAGTTTATCCTCTTGACAAACCCAACAGGTTTTTACTCTGTAAAAAGAGACAAGCATCTAAGTAAGCTTTCTGAAAAAGTTTTCAAATAGTCTTGAATAGTTTTTATAGACTCAGTTAAGATGCTCTAAAAATTTTTTCTGTGAAGATTAAAGATACCACTTTTTAAAAATATGTTTCTTATTTGCATAGAAATTCAGTTCTATTTACCTACTCTGGACTTTGGGACATGGCCTTCATTTTTAAAGCCAAAATTCTTTGCATACTGTAAATTTGTTGTCATCTATGGAGTCATCATTATAATCATTTTTCAGTATTTCTAGTGATTCAAGTCTATTCTTTTTAAAATTGCAGAGAAAAAAATAAGCATAGAGAAAGAACTGAACTCCTAGGGAGTTAAAAGCTCTGTTATTCTTTACTTGCTTGTCATCCAGTCTTATGGTTAGGACAAATGAATCAGCTCAGGGATTAATCATTTAGTTCCTAAAGAGCGGCTCAGCCCTGGGGAGCTGATGTAGGTGTTCCAGTGGATGGTATATGACTCTGTGCAAGTTCCCTGTATTCTGTAACAAGGTTAAGTTCTAATCTTTTTAGAAGATAAAAGGGATTAAGTACAATGTTTTCCTTCTAATCTATCTTCAGTGAACTATTTGTGTCTTTAATTTTCTCATATACATTTAGTCAAATGACATATTCTCACATAATACCCTGAGTCACAAAGGGTAACAAAAGTATTTTAGATTTATATGATTAAAGATAAAAGTGGTGGCCTTCATGCTTTAAATATTTGGTTCTTTGAAGTGAAGTCTTTGTGAGTGACTTTAGTTATTGTGTTCCCTTCATTAGATTTAATATCAGAGGAACAACAATAGGTGATAGAATAATGAGGTAATTCAGTATGTTCCTTCATTATTTTACTTTATGATGAATATGCTAGGTCTTTTTTCCACAGCTAACCACTCTTCCTATTAACAGTTAATACTTCTTTGAACTTAACTGAGCTCTTTAAGTGCTAAGCATTATAAACTGGGTTGCTTTTCAGAAACCATGTTTAGCTGCATGCACTGCATGGGACTAGAACGAAAGAGATTTCTTGTGTGCAGATGTGATTGACGTTCACTTCAAGCGTGTCATGTGATAACGTAACTGCCATGAAATTGTTGCTTAGTGGCCCCGGTGTGTCCTAGTCTTTATGATCCCATGGACTGACGCCAGGCTCCTCTGTCCACGGGATTTCCCAGGCAAGAATGCTGACGTGGGTTGCCATTTCCTTCTCCAAGGGGTCTTCCCAACCCAGGGATGAACCCACGTTTCCTGCAGGTGGATTCTTTACTGCTGAGCCACCAGGGGAGCCCATAATCTAAAATGATGTACTTTAAATATTAACTAATAGTGATGTGTGATACTAAATTACTGGATTGCATTCTTCAAAATATTCAAAGCAAGTAGCTAATATTAGCTAATTTGTTGAAGAATGCAGTTTGTGTTTTTTAAAAAACTCAGTTGGGGTAGCATTTAGCAGCTTTTTGCTTGAGATCAGTAACAAAAAATGGATTTGACTCTAAGTCTCTTCATAGGTTTAAAATTCTGATTTTTTTTTTTAAGAAAGGGACTTTCTCATGAATAGCTTAGTAACTTAGTATCACACATCAAGTGATACTTAGCCCTCGGAGACTTCTGTAGTTTAAAGACTTAACAGGGGGATACATTTTAAAATCTAAGTTAAAGTTTCAGTTCTATTATTCATTTACCCAAAACCTGACTTACTGACAAAATCAACTTTGTACTTATTAGGTTGGTACAAAAGTAATTGTAGTTTCAAACTGAGAATTTTAATCATTATAACTAAGCTCAAACACATCTTTATTAATCAAAATGGGAACCATTACACCAAATACATTTTTGCCAATGAGAACTAGGTTTGTTCTTGTAGCATAAAAACTGTGCCTTGGAATTCTACAAACTCTTGTAAAGCATTTTCTGCCTCCTGCTGTTTTTGCAAGCATGTTGCCTACAAAAAGTTGTTGAGATGCTTGAAGTCGACAGTTGTTTGGTGAGAGGTCAGGTGAATATGGCAGATGAGGCAGAACTTCATAGCCCAATTTATTCAACTTTTGAAGCATTGGTTGTGCATCATGCAGTCAGGCATTGTTGTGGAGAAGAATTGGACTCATTCTATTGACCAGTGCCGGCTGCAGGCGTTGCAGTTTTCAGTGCATCTCATTGATTTGCTGAGCATACTTCTCAGATGTAATGATTTTTCAGGAATTCAGAAAGGTGTAGTGGATCAGACTGGCAGTAGACCACCAAACAGTGATCAAGACGGTTTTTTTGGTGCAAGTTAGGATTTGGGAAGTGCTTTTGGAGCTGCTTCTTTGTCTGGCCACTGAGCTGGTTGTCACGGGTTGTTGTTTAAAGTCCACTTTTCATCACATGTCACAGTCTGATCAAGAAATGGTTTGTCGTTGTTGCATAGAATAAGAGAAGACAATACTTGAAAAGGACGATTTTTAAAAAATTTTCAGTCAGCTCTTGAGGCAGCCACTTACCAAGCCTTTTCACCTTTCCAATTTGCATCAAATGCCTAATGAGTGTAGAATGGCCAACACTGAATTCTTCAGCAGCTTCTCATGTAGTTTTTAAGAGGATCAACTTTGATGATTGCTCTCCGTTAGTCGTCGTCAGCTTTCGATGGCTGGCCACTGCGTTTCTCATCTTTGGCTCTCATCTCCTTTGCAAAACTTCTTGAACCACTGCTGCTTTGTCCTTTGGTTAGCAGTTCCTGGGCCAAATGTGTTGTTGATGTGGCAGGTTATATCCGCTGCTATATGACATACTTTGAACTCGAATTAAAAAATCGTTTGAATTTGCTTTTTGTCTAACATCATTTTCCTAATCTAAAATAAATATAAAATCAACAGCAATTAATAAGTTATTAGCAAAAAAACATAAAGTGAGAGATGTTCATTAAAATGACGTGTAACATAACCCTACCTAAGAATGTATTCCAATATCAAATGGCAAAGTTTAGTAGTGTAAAACCACAATTACTTTTGCACTAACCTAAAATTATAGTGGCACATGTATGTTGTTTATTATATGTTTCTAAAACATAAAACATAATATATAGCAGCCATCAGAAATGTAAAATTAAGAGTTCCTGGTGGGGATACAGAATTGACGGAATAAGCCAAAAATATTTTAAGTATATAGAAATCCTTGGTAAAGTCCTATTCTCATAAGGAGCATCTAAACATCTCAAAGTTATTTTTACTTTTGTATTAGTGTTTCTAGGTTGTTTTAACATAAAATATATATGAATGTAACTTTTGGCAAATTATTCTATTGGTAATTACTACTTTCTAATTATATAATAGTAGAATGGGATTTGTTTCAGGCCTATTTGGTTTTCTGATTTATACCTTGAATCCTAAGCACTCAATCTGATTTTACAGGGAAGATTGCAACTTAAAAGTACCATGTCACTCTAAATGAGTTATAGAGAAGCTAAAACATTGAAGTGGAGGGCACTCTGTGTTATGATTGTTGCCAAGAATTGCTTATACTCCCTACATCAGTCATTTTCAGAGTGTCTCTGAATGCACCTGTGTCTCCATATCTTTACTTACTGTATGCCCCTCTAACTGAAATGACCTCCTATAACCATCATCATCATTATGGCCATTTCATCTTTCAACATGCATCTTAAGCTGCTCTTCTTGAAACTTTTCTTAGCCTATACCTTGCATAATTCCAAGTAGGGCTGAACATTTCTTCTGTATGCCTTTATATATATTATGCTACCTATAACATTTACTGCATATGTGTATGTATGTGTTTCCCTGTGTAAGATGTAAGTTCCTTTTAAGGCCAGCATAATATATACATGCATACGTAAATAAAAGTTGGCAAAGAAGATTATCTTTTTATCTAAAATTCTAGCTACCGAATTTTTATTCATATTTCCTTAGATGATCTGGCTTATTGTTTTCTTCCTTTGCTTCCTAAACTTTGAAATAAATGAAAATCTATAAATTACTCTTTTAGGAGTCTGACAGCATTCCCACACATTTGATTACTTCCTAGAAAGAACTGAGGGTCACTTTTAATCATGGCTATAGTTTATTATGAAGAGGGAAAAACACATCAGACAGAATCTAGAAGAATCCAGGCACAAGCTTCCAATGTTCTCCCACCCAAGATGGTCCATACAACGTGCTCCTTTTTCCAGCAGTAAAAGGCATTTGACACTAGTGAAATGTTTCTGCCAAGAGAAGCCTGCTTAAGACTCAAAATCCACCAGTTTTATTGAAGGAAAGTCATATAGGCACCCTCTGCACCAAACCACAACCACCTGAGTTCCAGACCCTGAAGGAAAGTAGATGTTCGCCATAAATCACATTATTTGTACAGACCATCTTGGCAACCAGGTATATCAGGGTTCATTGTCCCAGGCAGGCAGAACAATGGAGGAAACATTATAAAGTCAATTTCCCAGACACCAGCCAAGGGCCAGCCTTGGAAACAGACCCTTCTAAAGATAGCAGCATTGGGCCTGCTATCCTTTACTTTTATTTACTAATACACTTTGAGGCAAAGAATTGAAACTCTCTCCCGCACTCCCATCCCACTCCAAACACATACCACAGACATAGAAGTAGAAACAGCAAGATAGTCTCCAGCAACTCATCCATGTCTCTCATATCTGGTACTTGTAAAAGATAGTGACTGAAATTCCAATCCAGAGGCCTTTGTTATTGGTAACAATAGACAACCTATAAACAAGGGCTTTAAAGCACTTAAAAGTATAATTTTTAAAAAACACAAGTAGCATCTTTTCTAAATTTTTATTCATAGATCCATATGGCCATGAAACTTTTTAAAAAAAATAATTTAAAGGTAAATTTGAGCTTAACTCTGAAAAATCCAAGACTCTAAATTTGGAGGTTCAAGCCAGTGAGGTTTTCTCTCTAAAAACCACTAAGTAAATATGAGAAAAGTGTGCATATAGTAGACATCATATACTGGTATTTAGAGTTAAAGTGAGCATTCAGTGAGGCATAACTAAATGAAATTTAACTTATTTGTTGGTTATAATATCATTTGCCTAGGAATGTTTCCTTGGCATATACCGTAGCAACTTTGGATCTCATAGTTTTATAGGTGTTCTGAAAATAGAGACATAGAATGTAGTGTTTATTACATAAGCTCTCCTGTTGCAGAGGACAGGGTAGGAGATAGGGACTGAGAATCTAATATCTAATATTTTGATCTTTGAATGGGAAACTCAGTCTCAAGTTTTGTAAGTAAATGCATACTCAATTTATTTTAAGATAGAAGAATTTAGTTATAATTTATAAGAATTTAGTTAGTTAGTTATAAGAATTTAGGAAGATGGAGGTTACTGTTGCCTTAAGTGTTCTGATACACTACAGTGATGTCACAAAGTTTGGAAAATCCTACATTGTCTGTACCTCTGTCTGAAACTTATAAACCACATTAGTGTAATAAAGCCTGTAAGAAAACCTGCAACAAGGAAACCTTTTTAGCTCTTCTTAATTCATTGTTTTATACATTTATTTGAACACAAACCTGTTATGTGGAAAGCCTCCAAAAATCTCACAACTTGGAAAATGCTTTTCAGATCATTTCAGTTTACATTCTACAGTCTACAGTTCAGTTGCTCAGTTGTGTCTGACTCTTTGCCAACCCCATGGACTGCAGCATTCCAGGCTTACCTGTCCATCACCAACTCCTGGAGCTTACTCAAACTCATGTCCATCCAGTCTGTGATGCAATCCAACCATCTCATTCTCTGTTGTCCCCTTCTCCTGCATTCAGTCTTTTGAGCATCAGGGTCTTTTCCAGTGAGTCAGTTTTTCGCTTCA